GTTCCGGAAACGAGCTTAGGTTGCATTTGAAATAATTCTTCGAAAATCTGAGCTTTGAAGAGTGAGATGGTTTTATTAGCATAATGTAACCTGTTTTGAAATCTATAGAATAAATTGAATAGTGGATCAGGACAGGAGAGGCTCAGTGGTGGATGGTCCACACCTGCTTCTGGTGTACAATCTGCTATTACCCAGCAGGGGAAGCCTGTTTGAATCAGGCCCAAGCCATATTAGTGCTGGCCAAATATGAATACGATAAGGCAAATGGCGTATCGTATTCACCCCTGCGGGCGCGTATCGTATTCTTAGTGTATCATATTCATATTCAACGGCCTGAATATGAATACGATATGAATATATTCAAATATATTCTGAGCCACCTGCAGTCACAGAAAAGGAGGCTCACACTGGACCAAAGCTTTGCCAGAGTGTTGGAAGGTCCTTGCACACCCCTCCTAATGTATGAATTGGTTCTTTGGGGACCAGCAGGTAGCCACTATCAATAGTCGGTGTGTTTCAAACCCCGGATCACAACTTTTGATCACACCACCCGATTGATTGATTGAAGCCGAGGCTGGACCAGCGGTGGTCAGTGCAGATCAGACTCGGCTTGCAGGCCTGCCGCCAGAATGCATTGATCCGATGTGTCCCGGCGGAGGCCCGAAGGCGGCAAAAGCCAACTTCAGAGTATTCAAATATATTTGAATACGATGGGACACATATCGTATTATATCCATATCGTATTGTATTCATATTCAGCTGTATCCATATTCTGGTGTAGGTCCTGGGGCCGTATTGTATGCGTATGTATTCGAATATATTCAAAATATATTTTGGCGTATCGTATTTATGGCCAGCACTAAGCCATATTATGGACCAGGGTAAATATTTTTATTCTCACCATGATCCTCTCCGAAGAGTGCTACAAATCAGAATCTGAGGATAAATTAGCAAGGCTCAGTGGTGGATGGTCCACACCTGCTTCTTGTCAAGTTTTCTCCATGTACCAGCAGGAGATGCCTGTTCGAATCAGGCCTGAGCCATAGGTAGAAATAATAGCAGGTTGGTTTTTTTTTGGCTCTTATCACTACAACTCGTAAGAAAATGTGCCGGAAACGAGCTTAGGTTGCATTTGGGATAATTCTTCGAAAATCTGAGCTTTGAGGAGCGAGAATGGTTTTATTACTATAATGTAACCTGCTTTGAAATCTGTAGAATAAATTGAAGTGTTGGTTGAGATAAGGAAGGCTCAGTAGTGGATGATCCCACACCTGCTTCTTGTGTGAATCTACCATGTACCAGCCGGAGAAGCCTGTTTGAATCAGGCCTGAGCCATTGAAGAGGTTTAGGAGGTTTTTTTAAATTCTCAACCATGTCCACATAAAAAGTGTACTACAAATTGGAATCTGAGTACAGTGGGAAAGGCTTGGTGGTGGATGGTCCATACCTGCTTGCTATTGGTCGAATGCAAACAGAGTGTGTTCAGCAGGAGAAGCCTGCTCGATTCAGGCCCAAGTCATTTTGTTTGTGCTGCAGAAATCAGTTTTTTTTCCCCACTTCATTCAATGGTCTATTTTCATCAACCCTTCATGAAAAATGTGCTGAAATGAGCTGGGTTGAATTTGGGGATGACCCCTAAAAATCTGAATTTTGGAGATTTAGAGTGAGATGGCTTTATTACCATAACCTGTTTTGAAATCCATAGAATAAATTTGTTAGGCGCCGGAGGCGCTATGCGCCCCATCCATTACATTCTGATGAGTGCGGTGATAAGCCGTGTAATCAAGTACACCTGAATTTGCGCATTTTATGCATTTCCAGCTGTCAAGCATATGTGCTACATACCTAAGAGGCTTTCGGGAGCTCCGAACGAGTAGCCTAACAAGTCTAATAGCACTAGGGAATGAACCGGGAGGATCTATAGCGGTACCTCCACAAATGGGGCCAATATATGTCTTACTCGAGTAAGGAACTAGACTATCGTGGCAGAGAAACTAGGTTATATAAAGCCTAAGGCTGCTTGCTGGGACACTTACCAAGGAGATGGGAAGGAAACTATCATATTTGCACAGTGGCGGAACCAAGTCCTTCATAAAAGATTGACTAGACTAAGATTGTCCGTGTTTGACACAAGGGACTAGCGCGTTCAGGCCACATGATGGGAAAGGCTACTGAGAGAAGGCAGATACTGCCAAGACGGATAGCATCCAAGAATAGAACCGGCAATTCCGGATCTAGGCAACCAGCATCACTATAGAGATCGTGATAATCCTTAAATCGGATAAGGCATCCTAGGTTCCTAATCGAACCATGGATAGATGGGTTGAGCTAACCTATGACTATGGGGTACCGTATTGAAGCTACGATGGCAGGCTAGACGAAGAAGACCCTTCCGAGCTCCGGACATAGAGCCACAGACGAAGAAGACCTTACTCGAGCAAGGCATCAGTTGCCAAGAAGAGCTCTTTGATGGATCAAACCAACGACCGTGTGCAGCTGTCAGAGCACGCCTTTACTGGCCAATCAAGAACGAGGGACGCCGTCGGAGACAAGGGAGCAGTACGAGTCATATTAGAGAGCAGGTAGCGTAAACCAAGTAGTGTAAGCAGGTTGAGAGTAGTATAAATAAGGGGCAGAAAGGGCAGGAACGGGAGCGCATATCCCTTGGAGGCAGGCACCAGAGTTGGTTGTCCTTGTTTGTTCCACTAGATTTGATTAGCTTGGGCCTAGCCCACAGACACGTAGCACCAGAAATAGATTTGGATTTGGATCAGACCTTAAAAATATAAGAAACCTCGAGAACTGGGTCGAAAACCCTTTGAATAAGGCCGAAAGCCGACATCAGTACTGAGCCGAAAGCTCTTTTAAGGCCGAAAGCCGTCAGAACCAGTCTCGTTGAATCATATTGAGTCGAAAGCTCTCTTAAGGCCGAAAGCCGAACATCTGTACTGAGCCGAAAGCTCTTTTAAGGCCGAAAGCCATCCAAAACCTTGGTGTATAACCACAAACCCGTCTATTAGACACCCAAACCCGACCTTGTGTCATTAAACTCTTAAAACATTGTACATTGTACCGCATTAGTCTTGAAATAAGACCAGAACTACCCAGACAATATCCAAGAACCTTACTCAAATAAGACACCTTAATTGAGTAGAGATCTTAGCAAGTACCCCTACGAGTACAGACTAGCTATAGGGTCAACAAACCGTTGATTCAAACCCCGAACTACCCGACTCAAAGCTCTCAATACAAGAGGAGTGATTGGTTGTAGTGTGATTTGGTTGTTAGTGTATAGTGGATAGTTCATTTGTCCATTTGCATTTAGCGGCTAGATAGCATATTTTCCCGCCGTACTTCGAGAGCCCCCGTCTCAGCAGTGCTGTCACCGCACTATACTATCATTACACCACTTTAGCAATCACTCATTTGTACAAGTATATAAACTTGCTCGTAGTCATGTGGGCGGTATCTTTTACCCACCCACATCCTACGCTGCATCCTGCTCTAATATATTAGAACCTGGACCAGTTTAGCTTTGGTGCATCCTAAGATAACCCCAAACCCCTTATAAAATTGAAGTGTTGGCCAGAACGAGGAAGGCTTAGTGGTGGATGGTCCACACCTGCTTCTTGTATAAGCTTCTCTGAGATGCTAGTGGGAGAAGCCTGTTCGAATCAGGCCTGAGCCATTGATATGTAGTGGGGTCATTTTTTTTTATTCTCAACCATGTCCACGTAAAAAAAATGTACTACAAATTGGAATCTGAGTACAACTGGGAAAGGCTTGGTGGATGGTCCACACCTGCTATGTATTCCTTACAAAACTTGCATTTGGCAGGAGAAGCCTGTTTGATTCAGGCCTGAGCCATGGTTCAAGCATGATGGTTCAAGCGTGGCATTTTTTTTGGCTCATATTTCCTCAACTCGCAAGAAATGTTACTGGATTGCATGTTAGGGTGATCCCTAGAAAAATCTGAGCTTTGAAGAGCGAGGTGATTTTATTACCAGAATGTAACCTGTTTTGAAATACCTAGAATAAATTGAATAGTGGATCAGGACAGGAGAGGCTCAGTGGTGGATGGTCCACACCTGCTTCTTGTGAAGATTCTTCCACATACCAGTGGGAGAAGCCTGTTCGAATTAGGCCTGAGCCATAGAATTTAGGATGTTTATTTTATTTTCAATCATGTCTGCATAAAAAATGTACTACAAATTAGAATCTGAGGATAGGTTGGAAAGGCTTGGTAGTGGATGGTCCATACCTGCTTGCTATTGGTCGAATGCAACGGAGTGTGTTCAGCAGGAGAGGCCTGTTCGATTCAGACCCAAGCCATTTTGTTTGTGCTGCAGAAATCATTTTTTCCCAACGGTCTATTTTCATCAACCCTTCACGAAAATGTTGTTGAAATGAACTATGTTGAATTTTGGGATGATCCCAACATAATTTGAACTTTGGAGAAAGATGAAATCATTTCACATGCCTCGCCCTAACTTCCTGGATTCACATTTTGAGAATAAATTGAAGTGTTGGTTGGGATGGGGAAGGCTCAGTGGTGGATGGCCCACACCTGCTTCTGGTATATTATTCCTTGATCTCCAGTGGGAGCAGCCTGTTTCAATCAGGCCTGAGCCATAGGTAGAAAGATAATTTTTTTGTTCGTATTTCCTTAACTTGCAAAAAAATGTTGTTGAAATGGGTTGGGTTGAATTTTGGGACAATTCTGCAAAAGCCTGAGTGGTTTCACTTTATGTGCCTTGCCATAATGTAACCTGTGTTGAATCTTCAGAATAAATTGAAGTGTTGGTTTAGATGAGGGAGGCCCAGTGGTGGATGGTCCACCTGCTTCTTGTTAAGACACTCTCTCAAGTTCTAGCGGGAGCTGCCTGTTTGAATCAGGCCTGAGCCATTGATATGTAGTGGGGTCATTTCTTTTTATTCTCAACCATGTCCACGTAAAAAAAAAGTGTACTACAAATTAGAATCTGAGCATAAGTGGGAAAGGCTTGGTGGTGGATGGTCTATACCTGCTTGCTGTTCGTAATAATGTTGATAATAAAGTCAGTTAGCAGGAGGAGTCTGTTCGATTCAGGCCCAAGCATTCGTGTATATCTTGCTATATATTTTTTCTTTTTTTCTTTGCTCTGGTGGAATCCGGCCTCAGTATTTGACTCAATACCGCACAGTTTTTATCAGCATCAGGGCTGCTGGATCGGCTGCCATGTTTTGGAAACACTGTGTTTGATTCTTGTATAAGTACTGTGAATTGAGGAATAGAATAGAAAGGCTCAGTGGTGGATGGTCCACACCTGCTTCTTGTGAAGATTCTTCCGCATACCAGTGGGAGAAGCCTGTTCGAATCAGGCCTGAGCCATTGTATTGGAGACTGGTATATTTTTTGGGGGGCTCATATTTTCCTTAACTTGCAAGAAAAATGTTGCTGAAATGAGTTATGTTGAATTTTGGGATGATCACACTGAATTTGAACTTTGGAGAGAGAGAGGATTTCATTTTACATGCCTCGCCATAAGGTCCCCTGCTAATTTGAATCTCTAGAATATATTGAAGTGTTGGTTGAGATAAGGAAGGCTTAGTGGTGGATGGTCCACACCTGCTTCTAATATCTGATTTGTAATTGCCCAGCAGGTCCAGGGGAAGCCTATTCGAATCAGGCCTGAGCCATATATGGGTGAGTGTAAATCCTTTTTACTCTCACCATGAACCTCCCAAAAGAGCGCTACCAATCAGAATCTGGGGATAGGATGGTCCATACCTGCTATGTATACACTGCGTGATTTCTATATTGCAGGAGAAGCCTGTTTGATTCGGGCCCAAGCCATTTTGTTTGTGCAGCAGAAATCAGTTTTTTTTCCCCCAAGGGGCTGCCAATACCCGAAAAATCTACCGGACGTCGAAATTTTTTTCTCAGAGAGTCGGGGACCCCTCCCTCCCTCTCACAGCCACCAGATGCCATCAAATTCCCTTTTGGGGATGGCCTAAAATTCTCAAAAAATTCACTGCGTAACGAGGTTACCCACAAGGATATTCAAAGCTTAATATAACAGTTTATTAAGCCTTGTGGATTTTATCAAGCAGAATCCTCCTTCATTTACGATGCTAGACTTGAGTATCCTCCGGTTTTGTGCATGTCGTCAAAATATGCAAGCCAACTCCATGAAAGTGGCTGGGGGTGCAAATTGTAGGTCGACCGGCTGAATCATGTTGCACCCAGACTGTTTCCACTCCAGAATCTTGTGTTCCCATTGACAAGAGGTTCCAGCCGCCGGGCCGCGATCCGAGCACGTGCCAAATTACTTTGTTCGGAGTGGCTGTACCCCCGTCATTTTCCAAATGCAGTAATAATCTTTTGGTCTCTATCTCGCCAACCACTGAAGTTCTGCCTTCCGGATATTGATTTTCGGAATCCCCACAGAAAACTAGCCTATAATTTGACGTGATGTAAAAAAATCGGATCTTGACAGCCCCTTGTTTTCCCCCACTTCGTTCAACAGTCTATTTTTATCAACCCTTCACAAACATGTGCTGAAATGAGCTGGGTTTGGACATTGGGATGACCACACAAAAATCTAAGTTTTGGAGACATGGTTTCATTTTACTGTTCTGAAATCTGTAGAATAAATTGAATAGCAGATCAGAATAGAAGAGGCTCAGTGGTGGATGGTCCACACCTGCTTCTTGTGATGTCGTTCCCATGTATCAGCGGGAGATGCCTGTTCGAGTCAGGCCTGAGCCATTGCAAGTGGGTGAAGTTTTTGATTCTCAACCATGTCCGCATGAAAAGTGTACTACAAATTGGAATTTGAGGGTGGTTAGGAAAGGTTTGGTGGTGGATGGTCCACACTTGCTTTCTGTACCGAAGGTGCCTCAGTGTAGCAGGAGGAGTCTGTTCGATTCGGGCCCAAGCCATGGAGTGGTGATGTTTTTTTTCCCCCCAATTTTCTTCGACACTTATGATCCCGGTACGTAGTATGGGCCAGCAATTGCGACTAAACATGTGGTCGTGAATTGTCAAATTGTCGAGTCGGAAAACAGGAGTTGTCAAGATCAAGTAAGACTAAAATTGAGCAAGACAATGATTGACTTTTGAGTGTTATTCCAAGCTGAGTTGGACCTAGGCAAGGCCTGGTGGTGGATGGTCCACATCTGCTTCATGTACTGCGGGGTGCAGATTCTCAGCAGAAGGTGTCTGTTTGATTCAGACCCAGGCCATTCACTGGTCTTAGCTGTTTTTTTTTAAAAACCTTTATTGCACTTCATTTTGCTGTTCAATACAACGGACTGACTCGACGCACGCAAACTCCCCGGGAACGAATAAGAGAGACGACGAGGGCGTCGGAATCGGGGCTCGGGAGTCGCCGGTGGCACTGCTTGACGGTGGCGCCACAAGGGGTTGCCGTAAGTGTGCTTGCTCTACTTGTAAGTACGCGACATGGACGCGTACAAGGCTATTCGCGCCCACCAAGAAGACGCGTCAGATCGATTGACAGGACTCGATTGGTATAAATATTTCTTTCTTTGCACCCTCGTCCTGGTTCGATGACTTTTGGTACGCTGCGGGCGCTGCAGGGCATCCTCGCCGACGCCCTCGACGACATCGAGGCCGTCTACGCCGCCGCCAACGACAACGAGCACCCAGCGTACTACGCCTCCCCGCCGCCCTCGCCGTCGTCCCCGCCCTTCCCCGCCGACGCCCACGTCCCGCCGACGCCGCTCGACTTCCCCGCCCTCGACGCCCCCTACGCGCCGCACACCCCCGCCGAGCAGCTCACGACGCACCCCGCCGTCGTCGCCGCCACCAACCGCGCCCTCGCCGCCTGCGCCCACCTCGCCGCCGCCCTCCAGCCGCCGTTCCTCGCCCTCTGCGACGCAGCGATGGGCTACCACCTCCCCTCCTGCCTCCGCCTCTTCGAGGCCGCCCACGTCGCCGAGGCCCTCCACGCGGGGCCCCTCCACGTCGCGCTCCTCGGCACGCGCATCGGCGTCGGCGAGAAGACCCTCGCGCATGTGCTGCGCCTGCTCGCGACGCACCATGTCGTGCGCGAGGTTGCCCCGGATGTGTTTGCGCTGAATCGCGTGAGCTCGTTGATGGATACGGGCAGGCCGCTCGAGGAGCTGCGCAGGGAGTGGGTGCTATTCTCTTTCTTTCGCCTTTTCCCTCCCTCGCATCCGCGCTCCCAATCTACCCCCACTCGCTCCCGCGGCCCCCATCCCCGCCACAATCACCTGCTTCTCCCTTCTCCTCCTTCCCCTTCTCGCACTCACACTTCCTTCCTCGGCTTCGATTACGCCGCCGAAGCGCGCTCTTCCTTTACGCGTCCGTGTGTGTACCTGTCGACCTGCCTTCGCGGCTCCCGAATCGGGCGTGTGCTTTGAGCTTCGCGCGAGGACGTCGGTGCCGATTTGCCTTTACTCCATCGTGATAATTCCCCTCCTTCGCGAATTTCCCTTTCTCCTTTTCTGATACCTGACCGCATGCTGACTCCCTTTTCTTCGTAACGTACAGCCCAACAGCCAAATACGCCGCCGACGGCGGCGCGGTCGCCGCGTTTGTCGGGCTTTGGTGAGTCGAGTCTCTCTCCTCTTTCTTTCTTTCTTTTTTTTTGGAGGGTTGTTTTCTCCTTTTTTCGAGGGTTGTTTTGAGGGGGGGGGGGGATTTTTTTGGGAGACGCGCCCCGGCGGGAAATTTAGGTGGTACATGCGTTCAGGCGGGAATCGACGCGCATACACGCGCCTACACGCGCCAGCTGTGGATCGACGCGCATTCACGCGTATCGCTATCGCTATACCTATTCCGCCTCGCGTATGCTATGCTATGCGCGCTTGAACGCATCTTCATTTTAAACCCAAACTTACTACCGCTAACGCTAACACGCACGCACAGCACGGACGAGCTGCATAAATCGAGCGCGTATCTGACCGAGGCGGTGTTCCCTGCGTGTCCGACGGTGGGGTTGGCCGCGGGGTCTTCTTCGTCTTCTTCGTCTTCGCCCTCTATTTCGATCCAGGCGTCTTCGACTCCGGCGACGTCAACGCCCGCGTCGACTGCGCTGGGCGGCAAGATCAGCGGGCACGGAAACGGGAACACAGGTGGGCAAGGGAACGGGAACGGGAACGGGAACGCGCTAGCCGACCCGACGCGCGCGCCGTTCAACCACGCGTTCGGGTGTGGCGGGGTCGGGTATTTCGCGTGGTTGGAGGGGGAGGGGTGGGATGCCCGAGCGCCGGCTTCGTGTTCTTCTGAGGAGGGGAAGCACAAGCAAAAGCCGGAGACGAAGACTAAGACGGACACGGACACGGACACGAAGACGGCTAAGGACACGGATAAGGACACGGACAAGGACACGGACAACCCGAATCGCTTCCGCCTGGAGCGCTTTGGGCGCGCGATGGCGGGGACGGGGAGCTGGGAGGCGCCGGGGGCGGTGTTGCATGGTGCGTTTTCGGGGGTTTTTTTTTTGCCATGATTTTCCCTTTCCGCGAGTTCCACTTTTCTCGAATTTTCAATTTCCCGACAAAAAAAAAAGAACATTGACTAATCACCTCTAACACGACGCAGGCTTCGACTGGGGCGCGCTGCCGCGGGGGAGCGTGGTGGTGGACGTGGGGGGCGGGATCGGGTCGACGAGTATGTTGCTCGCGAGTGCGTTTGCGGAGGAGGGTGCGTCTTTTTTCTTTTTTTTCTTGCGTTTCCCCCCCCTACATTCTTTTCCACTCCGTGTTATCGCTTTCTCCCCCATCCAACTTCGCACGACACCCAAACTTCGCCCACACCCAGACGCCGACGCTAACTCTAACCCCCGCACAGGCCTGCGCTTCGTGATCCAGGACCGGGCGGTGGTGGTGGAGATGGGGGAGAAGGCGTGGCGCGACAAGTGTCCCGAGCTACTGGATTCGGGGGCGGTGCGGTTTCAGGGTGAGTTTTCGTTTTTTGATATTCGGATGCGCTCGTTCGTCTTTGGAATACTCCCTCGCTCGTCCCGCGCCTGTCGACACGTTCCTCCCCGAAAGCTACCGACCTAACGCTCGGTCCCCACCGCATGCTGTCCTGCTAACGCGCCCTCCCCCCTCCGCAGTCCACGACTTCTTCACGCCCCAGCCGATCACGGACGCCGCGGTCTTCCTCCTCCGTGTGGTCCTGCACGACTGGCCCGACGCGTTCGCGCAGCGCATCCTCCTCCGGCTGCGCGAGGCGGCCGCGCCGCGCACGCGGCTTGTGCTCGCGGATTGGGTGCTGCCGCTCGCGTGTGCGGATGATTTTGGGGTGGGCGACGACGGAAAAGAAGGGAGGGAAGGGAAGGAGAAGGAGCCGCTCGTGGAGGGCGCGGAGAAAATGCTCGCGCCCGCGCCGCTGCTCGCGAACCTCGGCAAGGCCAGCGCGAATGCGTATTGGATGGATCTCACGGTGCGTTTCCCTCCCTCCTCTCACTCATACTGGCGATTCGGACGGACGGCTGACGCTCCGCCACCACCCCGCAGATGCAAGTGACGTTCAACGGGCAGGAGCGTACGCTGCGCGAGACGGTCGCGCTCGCGGCGTCGGCGGGGTGGAAGGTCGTGCGCGTCACCAAGGCGCCGGGGTCGCTCTTCGGGCATATCGTCGCCGAGCCCGTGCCTGTGCCCGTGCCCCCGCAGCGCCGCGCGCGCGCGGGGAGCGGGTCCGCGTTCTTTGATGTGCCGTCCGCGGGTGCAGGTGCGGGGGTGGGGGGCGCGGAGGGCGGAGCGATGGAGATGGAGATGCAGCGGGAACGGGAGATGGAGATGGGGATGGTGGAGCGCGCGAGCAGCCGCTGCGGGACGCCGACCTTCGGCTCGCGCGTCGACCTGCCCTCCGTCGCGGAGGCGCGCGCGCGTTTTGGCGGCGTCGCGCGGCGGCCATTCGGAGCTGGTTTGCGTGCGCCTCTGCCGGTGCCAGGGCTGCTGAAGCAGGCGGCGGTGCTGACGGCGCCACCCACGCGGAAGAAGAAGCCGTCGCCGCTGTCTGTCATCCTCCCGCCGTCGTCGCCCTCGCCGAGTTTGTACCACCGCCCGATCACGTCCCCCCGCCCGCAGCAGGTTCCGCAACAGCAGCAGCAGGCGTCGTCGCCCATTGCGCGCCGGATGTCGCAGGCGCCACTTTTCAGGGCGCAGGCACAGCCCGTGGTGCCCGTGCCGGCCGTCCGCCAGGCGCCGCCGCCGTCGCCCATGTCTCCGTCCCATCCGCTCAGCCGCCGCTCCTCGTACGCGCACTTGACGCAGGGCCCCGCCCCTTCGCCCCTTCCGCACCACTCGCCCACCACGCACACGCACGCGCTGCGCCACGTCCCGTCCTCGCCCGTCCTCAAGCCGCCGCGGCATTGCCAGGGGCACATGCACCAGAGCCCGAGCCCGCCGTCGCCCGCGCTGATGAGCCGCGCGCCGACGCCGCAGCGCGGGCTGCGCCATGCCCCGTCGTCGCCTGTGCTCAAGCAGCATCAGGAGAGGGACAGGGAGCGGCATCCGCTCCAGCTGCACCCGAGCCCGCCGTCGCCCGTCCCGACGCGCATCCCGGCGCTCGCGCGCCGCGCGTCGCATGCGCAACTGCAGTTCCCGCAGACGGAGCTGCGTAAGCGGTCGGGGAGCATCGTGCACCCCGCGATGGTGCGTGCCGCGGGCGGCGGCGGGGGTGCCAGTGGGATCGGGATCGGGATCGGGAGCAGCATGGGTGTGGGGCGGCCGTTGATGCACGGGCGAGTGAACGGCGGGGGCTCGCTTGAC